TCGATGGTTGCTTAGATCATGGAATTTTTACCCAATGGAACACCCTTACACAAGAGAATCGGCTAGTAACTGAGTACATTGCTCAATTTGAGGAATTTCGAGTGAAACGTCATGTCGTTGAAGATGAGGCCCTGACTTTAAGTAGGTTTATACAAGATCTACGAGATGAACTTAGGCGTGAGCTTTTCTTTCGAGGCATCACTACTCTTGATCAAACTTACTCTTCAGCTCGGGACTACTAGTTACTTATTAGTACTGCATATGAAAAGCATGATCACCATCGTTCACCCATCTCATTAGCGTCATCTCATCATAAGTATATCATAGAGCCTTCCCAATCTAGTGTTCCTTCCCTTTGGAAAAACAAGTGTAAAGGTCGTGATAGTCCAAAGTCATCTTCTTCATGTAGAAAGCGTAACGACAATCATCCTTCGGTTTCATTGGCTCCACTTCCTCTTGTTAAGTCCTTTCAAGAACCTCCCCCGTCTAGTGCTCCTCCCATTTGGAAAAATAAGTGTAAAGGTCGTGATAGCCCAAGGCCCCCTTCTCCTTATAGAAGGCGTATTGACAACCATTCTTCCGTCTCATTGGCTCCACCTCCACCTGTTAAGTCTCTTCTAGGACTTTCCCCGTCTAATGTTCCTCAAATCTTGGAAAATAAGTGTAAAATTTTTGAAACTCCAGGGACTTCTTCTCACCTGCTATGCATCAACTGTAAGGACTTTGGCCACATTTCTTCCAAATGTCCTAACCGAGCCTTAGTCATAGAAGAACGAAAGGATATAATAAAAGAGTCGTTAGAAGATCTAATCTATGAGTATAAACTTGAAGATTTTGATGACTTGGACGATATTGAGGACACTTCCTTAATTGGAATCCCGACCCTTCCCGAGACTTTAGAAACTATACCCCTTGTTTTCGACAACTCTCGATCACATGTTATATGTCATACCCTTACCCAACTCAAAGAGTTTGATGATTTCACTAGTCACTCTTGGAGAACCCAGTCGCCTGTTCTTAGCACTAAATCGAAATTCTCCACTACTGACCCACCTTAAACTGATGGTCAAAACGAAATTGCTAACCGAAGTCTTGGCAATTTATTACAGTCTCTAGTCCAAAAAAATCTTGGGAATTGGGACTCGATCCCCCCAACTGTTCACATCGCAAATAACAATTCTATAAATCGGTCTCTAGTTCTAAATCCATTTGAAGTTGTTCATAGTTATAAGTCTAAACGACCGTTAGATCTTATTCCCATGTCCCCGCATGCTAGTGTGTCGTTGTCAGCTGAAACATTTGTATATCATCTTCATGACTTGCATATTGAGATCAATAAACAACATGATGCAAGTAATGCATTATATAAACTTCAAGCTGATTCACATAAACGATATTTTGAATTTAATATTGGGAATTATGTAATATTGCAAGCTTGTATTACTGGTTCTTTAAAAATTTTAAAGCATGTTGGTTCAAATGCACATGTCATTGCCCTTTCATCACATTTTGGCTACCACTCTGCTTTAAATATTGAGGACTTCATTACTTACAAACACTGTATTACTTCCTTTGATGATCCATTTCTACCTAACTTTGTGGACCCCCAATTCGACTATATTGATATTTCTACTTTAATACCATCTATCACAGCACACAAAAATAAAATTGATGTTATTTTAGATGAACGTATTGTATTGACCAATGATGGTAAAATTCAGTACTTCCTTGTTTGTTGGGTAGATCGACGTACTTCTTATGCTCCTCATTATGTACAATCATGTGAAAATTTTGAAGATGAGATGCATGAGTATTGGTTATTTGAAGTCCAGTATCAGTACTTGGTTAGAGGAAAAGATCGCCCCCCTTGGTCAGATCATATTCTTAGGAATAAGCTATAGTTTTCAGTACTATCAATTATGGAATTTCGTTACTTGATTCGTCAGAAAGATCGTCCCCCGTAGCTTGACTTGAAGCATTTGGAGTATCAGATTGACTACAGCCTATATTATCTATCATTCGACAGGGTCGAGTTTTTCTCCCACCCCGGGAGAGTCGATGAGGACATCGGACGACATTTACTTATTTTATTTAAGCTTTATTTATTTTCTTGGACTATTATTTAAATTTGGACTTGTATGGGCTCGAGCCCAAGCTCGTTAGGGTTGCTTTACTATTTAAACCTATTTTGCATTGTAATTTTCAGTTAATGATGAATGAATAATTATTTTGGTGGCTTATGACGCATCCCTCCCCTTATTCTACCCTCTTTTGTTAAATTCTTCTTCTTCCTCCCCCCCCCCCAATTCCCCATTCTTCTCTTTAATTCCCTCTTCCTATAGATCTGTTCTATTTCTCAATTAATTGTCCCGTTGGTGCTGCATCACATTCCCCCTTTCGTCTCATCAACACCACCTTCTCCTGTTAAGTCCCTTCTAGGTCCTCCCCCATCTAATGCTCCTCCTCTGTTGGACAATAAAGGTCAAGATTTTAAAATTTCAATGGCTTCTTCTTATTTGCAGTGCTTCAACTATAAGGACTTTGGCTACATCTCTTCTGAGTGTTCTAATCGAGCTTTATTCATTGAAGAACAAAAGAATATGAAAGATGAGCGATTAAAAAATCAAATCTATGAATCTAAACTTGAAGAATTTGATGACTTGGATGATAGTGAGGACACCCCCCTTAAATAGTATACGGACTTTTCCTATGAGTCTAGGTATTGTACCCGATATCTCTCAGTCAAATGTTCTGTGTCCTACTCTTATTCCACCCAAAGGTATTGATGGTTTGTGTAATCATGCTCTTTGCAAGGAAACTCTGGGAAATTGGAATTTGATCCTTCCAATTGTTCAAATTGTATATAACAATTCTGTAAATCGGTCTCTAAGTCTAAATCTATTTGAAGTTATTCATAGTTATAAGTCTAGGTGGCCATCAAATCTTATTCCCATGTCCCCTTATGCTAGTGTGTCGTTGTCAGCTGAAACATTTGTACATCATCTTCATGACTTAAATACTGAGATCAATAAACAACTTGATGCAAGTAATGCATATTATAAACCTTGAGCTAATTGGCATAAACAATATTTTGAATTTAACATTGGGGATTATGTTATACTGCAAGCCCGTAGTGCTAGTCCTTATAAAATTTTAAAGCATGTTGGTTCAAATATATGTGTCGTTGATTTTTTATCACATTTTGGCCACCACACTATTTTAACTGTTCAAGACTTCGTTGATTACAAAAACTATTTTTACCCCTTTAATGATCATTTTCTACCTCCATATGGGAATTCGTACACTCAGTTTTTTGATATGTCTACTTCAGTACCATCTGTCACAGCATACAAAGATAAAATTGATGTTATTTTAGATGAACGTATTGTATTGACCAATGATGGCAAGATTCAGTACTTCCTTATTTGTTGGGTAGATCGACGTGCTTCTTATGCTCCTCATTATGTACAATCATGTGAAAATCTTGAAGATGAGGTGCATGAGTATTGGTTATTTGAAGTCCAATATCAATACTTGATTAGAAGGAAAGACTGCCCCCTTGGCCAGATCATATTTTTGGAAATAAGCTACAGTTTTCAATACAATCAACCATGGAATTTCGGTACTTGGATTGTCAGAAAGATCGTCCCCCGTGACTTGACTTGAAGCATTTGGAGTTTCAAATTGATTGCAGTCTACAGTGATCTATCAACTTGACAGAGTCGAATTTTTCTCCCACCCCGAGAGAGTTTATGAGAACATAATCTATTTTATTTATTTTTAGTTGGACTTTATTTTAATTTGGATTCTTATTTATGTAATTGGGCTTGTATCGGCTCAAACCCATTCTAGTTAGGATTTTCACTTTACTATTTAAACCTAATTTCCTATGTAACTTCATTAGTTTGGCTGAATATGAATTATTGAGATTGGTTGTGGCGTCTCCTTCCTCTCCTTTCCCCCTGAATTTCTGCTTCTTCTCCGGTTTCTTTCCTCCTCCTCTCTTGTTCTTCCTCCCTTTCTTGCTATCCTCTTCTTTGTCCTACATCAAAACCCCTCTGGAGTATAATCTGAAAAGATTTTTTTTTTTTTTTTTGCTCTATTATTCACACATTACTCGGAAAATCTAAGCTTGCTTCTTCTTAAGTTTCAAGTTGTTGTTATGGTACTGCTGTAAGTTGGTATTTGATTCAAGGAAATGAAACGGGAGATAGTTGTTGTTAAACTAAAGAAATACCAAAAGGGAGCCTTCTAGAAATGAATGAAGACTCAAGAGTTGAACCTCCGTAAATCTGGCGTCTCTTACCATCTCTTTAGTTTCTGCAACTTCATTTTTATTGATTCATTTATAAAGTGAAGTTTTCTAAAGAAGAATCAAATAAGTGTTGAACAAGTAAATGGCAGGAAAAATTCTTCTAAGAATAAGATAGTTGCTTAATATATTAGAGTTCGAACCCCCCCACCCCCAAAAAATAAAAAAAATAAAAAAACCCAGTCTCTCCCCTAGATTAAACCTGTCATTTGGGAGTAACACATATTACAGTTCGTGATGCAAAACTTTTGCAAACAAAATGCCAAAATGGTATTGAGTAACTACAAATTCGAATGAAACTAGTAACGAGGTTGAAATGGTATTGAGTAACTACAAATTCGCAGTTCATTGTTTCATTTAGGAAGAAGGGAAAAGGTAAAAAGGCCCTACTTTAGGAAGTAGACAAGAGTTTAAAACAGTCCATACTATAAAGCAAGACATTAATTTCAAAAGAGCAGGAGCAACTATAAAATTTAAATAAAAGTAGGACATTTAGCATTCTATATATCCTAACAACGTATGTCAACATCAATGCAATTAAAGCAATAAGAGTGGAAAGGAGCATGAGTAATTACTGGCAGTGTCTTGGAGGATCAGGGCTGATTGCAAAATCATAGTATAAAATTTGTTTAAATACACCAATTTACTTCTCAAGTTATGCTAAAACTTGAGTTATTTTTTCCCTTACCTCAAAGCCAGCATCAAATGGAAGACGAGATTCGATCTCGTTTTTGTCTCCGCTAAAATACCGTCCTGAGCTAAAATTCACCTGTTACAAAATGCTTTGTGTTAGTCCACATGTCAATTCTACACAGAGGTCCCTTATCTTTATATATATGTACACCAGGATAGTTTTTTTCATATAATATTCCTTAACCTAGTTAGGTTTAACCAGATAGAGGCAGCCAGCACCAACAAAATAATTAAATATGCAAGTAGCAAAGTGAAGTTGCATTGGAAGATCCATAAATCTAAATGTTCCTAGATTTATTCTACAATCTACGATGTACATGTGTTACACATATAGGGTAAGGCTTGTTATTTCTTTTCTTTTCTTTTCTTTTTTTCAAGATATAGGATTCCAAACTTTAGGACATCTATTTCATTCACATAAAACTTACAGACAAAAAATAAATTATGAGTAACAAACTTACATCACTAGCATTAACACCGGCATAAATGACTTTCAAAAGCACATGATCCGGTTTGAGGGGGAATCTCAACGGAGCACGTACTACACTGGTAGCACTACGGAAATTGTGATTCAATGTGTTGACAACTCTAGAGAACAAGATCAAAAAGACTCATCAATAAATAATCAATAAATGAAATAGTGCATTAAGGATACCTGGATTAATTTTAAAAGATCAGATAAGAGGAAAAATAACAGGAAGGAGGGAAATAATTGCAACCGAGATTTATAAAAAATTGTGGCCACATGCTTAAATACCGTAAAACATGAGTAGATTCAAGAGCATCTTAACGAAGTAAATTTTACACTAAAGCCACAAAGATCCCAAAAAAGCTGCCAAGTAGTTCAGAAAAATGTTCTTTCAGCATGGTAAGAAACAAACCAAAAATCTAAAATGCATTTTTCAAGAATACGTCTGCAACATACATGGAAAACATTCTGTTCTAGTTTGGTCACTTTTAACATGGTGACAAATCATTAAAAAAAAAAAAGTTCAATGTGGGTGCAAGAAATCCACTCAACAAATTTTGTAAGAAAAATGAGCAAAAATGTAATCATCATAATACTACCATAATGAAAGAGGAAGTACTTGCACCGAGTTGCTTGGTTCCCTCGATGAAAAATTTTTCCACAAACAAATTAAATAAGCTTGTCCTGTGTGGATTTTAGTACTCTGTTTCTTGCATATAATTACTGTAACATATAAATATCAAAATTTTCAACTCTTTCATTAGATCATTGTATAATTCATAATAAGTGAACAATGCCTCCTTGTCCCCACAAAATGGTTGTATTTCAAGGCCAAGGAATAAACATAAGAAGATGACAGAGACTACTTCCACTCTTATTTTAATGCTGGTAACTGAAAATATGTTTTCTTACATCTTCTCAAAACTTGGGGGTATTTGAATACTAAATGGAAACATCAATGAAGACTTTCTCCTTTGTGTCAAAGGGCGCACACGATATTTTGCTTCTTCTGCAGGAGTTGGCCAATACTCCAAGCCCCTTCGCTTAGATATCCACAAGCAAGATCCAGCTTTAGTCTCATCACTTATAAGCTCAAAAGCACCTACACATTTCATAATTAGAAACTCACAGCTAGAAGAGAGGTTGCAATGCAATAACACAAAAGAATAAAAGATAATGACAGATTAATTCTTCAATTAATTTCCTAAATGTTATGATGAACAGTAGATTCCTTGGCATGTATGAGGGGAATGGGGATTACATACACATCCATATTTCAATGAAGTTCCAAAAATAATTGCAATAGTACTTACCTTTCACTACCATTTCCATTGGCAAGAAGCCTCCCATTAGATCAATGATTTTAGGATCCAATTTTGCGGCCAAATCAGTTTGCACAAACTGCAGGCAGAAGATGGTTAATAAGTATTTTTTATAGAAAAAATTAGTAATCTTAATTAGTATTTTAGTCACCACTGCTGAAAAGCTACATTAATAATGAGTTATACAACTGCATGCAGCTCACTAACATCATCTCTAAGAAATTTTAATCAGAAATCTAAAACTTTTCACGTAACAAGGTACTTCCCTTTTGGGCCAGTTGTGGGCAAGGAGGGATTTGAACCACCAACACCATGGTTCATGTCCAACCTCAAACATTAATGAGGCATCTAATATCTCAGCCCAGTTATTGTTGTACATTGCAGATGTGCCATTAGAAAAATTTAAACGATAGAGCTTACCTCAGGGCAAAGCACATTGATACGGATCCGTTGGCGCTTGTAAAGAGTGAGGGATCTGGTGAACATAACCACGCCCCCTGTGAAATTTCTTATCATCATCAGACCGGATACATAATTTAGATCAATTATATTTGGGAAGAACTGAAAAAAAATGTATAATAGAGAAAATACAAACCTTTAGAGGCAGAGTATATAGGATCAGCATACATTGGGTAGAGCCCTGATGCAGAGCCAACATTAATGATTACACCAGGCTTTTTAGCCAGTTGCATGGTTTGAATCTGCAAACAAATCAAGATTAATATGCTGCGTCACCAAATTGGAAGACCCATGAACATGAAAAAATTTCCAGAGAAAGACACTTCTTGTGCGTGCAGACCAACAAAAACTCTCTCCACATCTGGTTTACAGGTGCAACTCTCCAATGCCCTCTTAATTCATCAATCATCCAAAATTATAAACTTGAGCGTGAATAATAGAAAACTTTAAACATTCAAAGCTCCAAGAATCATTTAATTTAAAAAGGTGTAATCAATCTCAAATTCAACCTAGTTAATAACATAAAAAAATCCGGTTTCAATCAATTGGCAGATTAGAAACTTACAGCGAGACGGGTGCAATCAATAACTGCAATAAGATTGATACTAACGGTGAGTCTCCAAGATTTAGAATCATCCTTATCAAATGGAACCGGATTCCCAATCCCAGCATTGTTAATACAGATATCCAATCCTCCATACGTCTCAAAATGCTTCTTGAAAGCCGCAGAAAGCTCATCTAACCCCACAATCACACCAAACATATTCAGAATCTCCCCAATCAATATAATAAATAGTCCAATTTGTGAATATTCAGGATAAAATCATGCACTACTATAATAATATATTATTCAATCGCAAAATTTGACTCAAGCGACCAGTCGAATTTTAGATGTTACTACTCACTTGTGTTAGTGACATCAGTTTTGATGAACATAGCCGGCGGAAATCCCAGTTCAGAATGTAACTTGGAAATTTCATTTCCGGCAAGTGACGCAACTTGGTTTCCTTTATCAGAAAGATCGATTATTGTAATGAAAATTCCTTTGCTTGCAAGGGCTAGAACAAGCGCCTTGCCGATGCCTGATGCTCCGCCAGTGACTAAAGCTGAAAGACCAGGCCTGAGCTCCATTTTTTTATACTCGAAATGAATTGATTGATCGATAAAAATGGAAACGGATTGAAAGATTATAATTTTCTTTTATAGATTTATCTATTGATTTCACCGTCATTGAATCTGTGGCTACGTCACTACAAGTTTTCAATTTGATGCGAGGTTTTTGTATTTTGGTGTGCACAGCCGGCCGGACCTGGTTTACTCAAAATATTGTATGCATGCTTTTATTTTCATCGACATTTCTGGATTCTCTTTAATCATGGCATAACCCAATTTTGGGCACAGGTCGGGTCATTTTCGCATAGTGTCCATCGAAGTGGAGTACCATTTGAGATTTATGTTTTCTAACACGCATTAGCGCCTGTTTGACAGCGATTTTCGTCTGCTTGTAAGGAAAATCCAATCATTATATACAGGAAATGAGCCCCCACAGAGTAGTAGCCATTTTGGTCTACACCTATCTTGTCAATTAAAAATTTTAACGAAAAGTCCCTGGTATCCCTAAATTTTTGACACTCAACGCCATTAGTGAGGACATTTTTAACATTTCAATTTATAATGAAAGACGATTGCCAGTTTTGATCAAATTTTTTGCCAATTTCTTTCTAGACGTGGGGCCCACTGACTATATATAATGATCAGATTTTTCTTTATAATTGTGAGAAAATTGCTGTCAAATAGACACTTACTTCGATATGAAGAAATTTCAAGCCTATTGTTAGTCACCTCTTTCGAATACATAAACATGATAATTATATTGACATCACAATTTTTGTTTCTTGTATAGTATCTTAATTATAATAAAGGTCGTTAACTTTTGTTTATTATCACATTTATTTTCTCATCCCCCTTTTTTTTCTTTTTTCTTTTTTTGCATTGTATTCTTATTACTAACTTTCAAGCAATTAGCATATCTTATCTCTAACGATTTATTTCAACATATTCTGTTTGCATGCTTTGAAGCGAGATAGAAATATTTTGTTAAACAATGGATTTTTTAATAGAAACTTCATGAGAGACCAGGCTTGTTGATTAATGAAAAATTGAAGATGAGAATGTGGCAAAAAAATTGGGGATACAGGTACAATAACCAATTAACCAACATGCTGAAAAATGAAAAGTAGAAGATGAGAATGTGATGAAAAAATTGAGGATACAAATTCAATTATTAATTAACCATCGTTGCACTTAAAATGCATGCAACAAATAGAAATTGTATTATATAGAAGTGTTTATATATGAAAAGGCCCTTTTAACTTTTAAATTAATAATGAAATTACGTGTCAAGTAGTGTAACGAATGTCAAATTGTTTAAAACAATGGAATTATTTACAGTAACTAAATATTGTGCCGATTTTAGATGTTTCAACTTGTTGTGACTTTTATCTTAACATTTTATTTGTCGTAGTCGCGATACCAAACACTTACTTATGTGTAGCAAAATTCAGAAGTCAATAATCTGACCATAATTTAACCAATTTTAAACTAACAAAATGATAACTTTACATTTCTTTAACGTATGACAATTAGTATAATTAAATTAAAAAAAAACCAAGAAAATAAAATGAAAGACAAATTCATCTTCTTTCCCAACCCCACCCTAGACCAAATCCTAATCTACCGAAAACCCACCCACAACCTACCTCCCCCACCAATACCTACTCAACACCACCGCAAACAGCCACCACGGCCTATTAGATTATCACCAAATCAAAACACATTATGAACTATTACAAATACAATTTTGCTTGATGTACAGTAGGCTTCGTCACAAAGCCTGCCAGAACACATATATAGGGGGATGGATGGGGTTTTTTTGGCAATTTTTTTCACATTGGGCCCAATAGTATGAGAATATTCTGGCAATCTTTTATGAAACTTTCTTCTGTACAAATGAATTGATCCTTATAAATATAAGTGTCTCACTTATTACTTAAGTTACATTATCTCTCATTCTTTTTAGTTAGTAGTCTTACACTTATATTTTCTCTCTACATCTCGTGCTCAAGCTAGAAAAAACTTTCAAATTGAATCGATCGACTAGACCTGAACCAAACTAGACATGAATCGAGCTATTTTTCTTAAATTAAATACCCAACGGATATCTGAATCGAAAACCGACGGATTTGATTTAGTTTTTGATTCTAGACCAAGAAAAAAAATCAAATCTCCCTAATTTTTTCTTAAATAATTCAAATTATTTTTAACTAAATTTGTTAACTAATTAGTTTAGCCCAAATCCAAAATATGTTTTTCTTATTTTTAATTTTCAAACTAGGCCCTAACTTAATCAAATTGAACTAAGTTTAACCCAAATATCTTATTTTTACATAGTGATGTTTTTTGTCGATACGGAGAAATCGAATTGAAAACTCAGTTGTGCTTCTCTTCATTATTGTGAGATCGCTATCTTCTTCTTCCTGTGATTTTAACAATCAAATCTATGAAGAACTCAACTAAGAGAGGCTCAAAAGATATCACGGGATTGGACTAAATTATTTTGAAAGAGTTAAAATTGAATATGTCATTAGTTAAATTAATGTAGCGTTGTTGTAAATATTAAAAAAAAATTAATTATTGTACGAAACTCGAGAACCAAATGGAACGGAACCCGAACTGTTCTCTAACTAAATTTGGACCCAACGATTCTACTTACTAAATTTTGGTTGAACCACGTCTAATTTTGGCTACATTGATTGCTTATACACGTACTAATAAATACACATATGAGTAGAGCAAAGTAAATGCATGCAAATTATTAGTAAAAGAATTTCCGTCATGGGATTTGAGCAATTTTTTGGGCGCTAATATTGTTATCAAGAGAATCTTGAGTCTAATAAGTGCTTATTTGTGAAGGATTTTGATAATTGATTTTTTGACCGTTGGAGATAAAATGGGTTTTACCTGTGAGAGAAGAATTCAAAAATGACGATTAGAATAATCAAATAATGATCAAAAAATTGATTTTAATTGATTTAAAATCTGTACCAAACAAGCTCTTAAGACTCAAGAATTGAGTATGTGAATCTTTTTACTCAAACTTGTCATTGTTAGAAGATTTAATATACTAAATCCTTAACATATTATTAACATAAAAATTGTTAGCTTTCAAATTCAAGTGATCATAATTATATGAAGATGGAATACATGTTCAATAAGTAATACCTTGTAAGAAATAAGTACAAATGTAATAGACCAAAACAGATACACCTAGTTGCAGTGCCATTTCGGTGTAGCAATGAAGTTTTGCCTCTTTACAGTGTATGAAAAAGAGGTTTCCTTTATGTTTACAAATTCCAACGTGTTACACCTGAACTAATCTTCAGCCTCTTCAGTTTCCCGTCGAACCGCCCCAAACCGGTTTATCAAAAGGTCCACGACCAAAGGAACCAGGTCATCACAAGGGACACCCTTCTTATAAATATCTCCCAAATGTGAGTCACTTCCAATTTTTCCTCCCAGAAACACGTCTGCTCCTTCAACAACTTTACCATCTTTCCTAGTCATGCACCCCATAAATCCAATATCAGCAACTTGTACTTGTCCACAGGTATTAGGACATCCAGTCCAATGCATTCTCACCGGTCGAGGAACAGACACCTGTCGGTTGACGTCCTCGGTTACCTTAAGAGCGCGCGCCTTTGTCTCGATTATGGCTTGTCCACAGAACTGGTTGCCCGTACAAGCTACTAGGCCTTTCATGAGAAGAGGTGGCTCTGGGGAGAATCTCTCTAAAAGTGGTTCTTTAAGCAATGCTTCGATCTTTGCGTTCTCGATATTTGGGATTATGATGTTCTGCTCAACAGTTAGCCGAAGTTCACCCGAACCATATTCATCAGCTAAACGAGCAAGTTCGTCCATTTCGTCTGCTTGGACACGTCCCACAGGGACGTGTATTCCGACAAAGCTATAGCCTACCTGTTTCTGAGGATGCACTCCTAGGTAGTCTCTCCTCTCCCATTGTTTCTGTACCAGGTCTTCAGAAGATTCTCTCTCCAGATGTTGTTGAGGCATTCTCTTCACAACCTCTGCCCTGAATCCTTCTATTCCCTGCCTTGCCACAAAGGAGAACCATTAAAGATTTCAGTATTTCGACTCATTAGTCGAAAGTACAGAAACTATAAACAAAATACAATTGAGACATGCTGGAAAAACTGGGAATTAGATGGAGAACAACCCTATTTAGAGTTACATATAGTTGAAAATGGAAAGAATCTATAATAATTACACAATGTTTGATGTAGATAATCACCAAAAAGTCTGGAGAAAATACTACTTACAAGTTCATCAATCAACCACATCATTCTGCATTTTTGCCTGTTCCCTCTAGTACCAAGATCTCTGAAAGCTTCCAGTATAGCTTTGCAAACTGGGAGTATATCATCGCCCGGAACCCATGCATCGAGTGGGATCGCCTCAGCGCATCGTTTGGGGCTGAAGAAACCACCCACAAGCAAATTAAATCCAAAGCGACCATTCTTTGTGGCAGGCATGTATGCAAGATCATTTATGTGAGGATGCTCGTAAAGATCATGTGAGCCAATCACACACACATTCCACTTCCTTGGCCTGCACATAAATACAGAGGATCCAACATTTCAAAAAAGGTCCAAAATTAAATTTAATGCAGACATTCTCCGACGACGGACGATGACAAAAACTGTAGATCAGACTTATTCTGGGATACATAATTAATCATTTTCCCCTATTCATTTGGTTTGAGGGTGAGGGTGAGGGTGACTAGAGAAGGAATGTATGAACTTACAAGTTAGTAAAAGCTGGATTGCCTCGAGAATTGGCTGTGATATATTGGGAGAGCAAATTAGTATAAGGTCTCGTGTCAACAATTTCGTCTGGATCAATCCCGGCAATAGGGTTCCCAACTGGATTCCTCACATTGTCCATGCCACTCTGCAGGCTGGTCAAGCCAACTTCTTCTAGTCCCTTCAGAATCTCCGGTACATCAGGCAATACAACTCCACGAATTTGCCAATTTTGCCTCGTTGTAACGTCCGCACACCCATCCTTCCCATATTTCTTGATAACGCTTGCCAAGTATCGAGTTTGAGCACTTGTTGTAACCCCATTTGGTAGCTTCAATCTCATCATGAACCGACCATCTGGTCACCACCGTTCATACAGAATTCACAATGAGATTAGACAAATAAGGAGAAAGATAATTATAAGTAACACATATCCTCTTTCTAGTATATGAAAAGTGCCACCAAAAATAAGAAATCACTCCAATAAGAACTTGGTTTTATCATAGCCCTTCATTTAGAAACCCCCACTATAGCTAATGATTAGGCCTGCTCTGCTTGGTTTATTTATAATCAAACAAACTAAGCCATCTTTTCAATAGATTTCATCCTACCAAATGAGCAAATCATTTTTATTTATCTATTGAACATTACTATATACTGTAGATCCCATTATTTGGATTCCTAAAAGATGCATAAAAATATGATAAGTCAATCAAAGCATATAATAAATCAGTAAAAAGAGGTTTAGATTGCATCTTACAGTGATGCTTCCTCCTGTGGAAGAGGCCAAGCCACTTGAGCCTCACATCAATGTCGTCCTTACTGAGTTTAGACTTCTCTATTTCTTCGAGAGACATCTTAGAAAGCTCTTCAATTCCATTTTCCATGAACAATTTCATAGGCTCCTTCTCAATCTTAACCTTCTCCGGAGGATTTATACCTTGTCTGAACTTTTCCTTAAGTACAAAATACCCTTCTTTTTCTTCCACTCTAGGTTCTAGCCTTTCCACGTCGATCCCCACAGCGCCTGTCGCCGGTGGCACCACAGTCTGAGGGGGAGTTGCTTGGAGCCTTGGGGGCCTGAACCTATTGGAATTTGGCATTGAAGGTGCCAAGAATTTGAGTGAAAGTGATGACATGGTGAAAACTTTGGAAGGGTGAAAGAAAATGTACTCGCAGTGGCGGTGGTGGTGGCGGCGATGGAGGGAGGAGAGTGTGATGAGAACATTATGTAGGGATGGGGATGGACCTTATGAAGGTGGGATGAGCTAAACAATTGGTCTCTTGAATGATTCTAAAGGTCGTTTCATTTTTGCTGGGCAGTAAGAGGCGACCGTTAATATGGTTTTACCGAAGTGTCCTCATTGTAGATATGATTTTACCAAAATGTCCTCACTGCAGTTAGCTCTCTGTCTGGAAAGTTGTGGCATGTGAGGGTGAGACTATTGCGGGATGTCTTTTGGAATTAAGAAATGGATTAAATTAATTTTATTAATAAACAACTAATAAGAAAAAAAAATAAGAGGCAGCTTAGCGCCTGTCTAGTAGAAATTCTCATTTTAATTTGTAGAGAAATTGTGACCGTTGCTTTTTAGTTTGACAGGCATTTATGGCAAAAAATCAGATGTGACAACCGCAGTGTTGGACCAATTTAGGGTAGACTGACCATTTTGTCCTAAACAGTTAAATCATTTTCTATGATGCATAGGTAAGATATTTCACTAGTAGATCTTCAACCATTGCTGTCAGCGTGGATCTCACATGTCAGTGGATAACGGTCAGATAATTGCTCAAAATCAACAAAAAAGTACTACCAGACAGCCCCCTTAAAGATGGATTATTGAAACTCGTATTTTAGACTTCAATGTTCATGTTCTAGGAAAATCATTAATCATTTCAGGTACGAGCCAATAATACTTATTCATAGCTCCTAATTCAAAATATAGTGTGAGGGGAACAAAATTTGCATTTTCAGGTGCAATCCTATACCTCAAGGTGTTGGAAATCATATTAAACCGTATAAAGAGTTCAATATAAAAATTAGAATGTTTTGAGTGGATGATATTTTGTGAATTAAGGTGGCTAATATTTTTTGATCTGCCAATCATATAACATAATGCAAAGGGCACAAATGTTTTATGCTAGATAAATAAATGGCAATTTTTATTATTAAAAGCTTAAATTATACCATCTGCCTTAATCCACCATAATATCATCTATCTACTATTATCCATTTTACTTTTAGCCCCAATTTGATTTTGCTAAAAATTGAACTTTTTTGTAATTTTTATTTATTTATAAGAGTTGATTAAATGTGGTTGAAAAGTTGTTGTTCTTATGAATGTTGACTTTGACTTTGATTTTTATCAAATTTTTTGACTAAATCAAACAACAACTAAATTTCTTATATCATCTAATGCCATGCACGAAATATAACGTGTTCTTTCAATTTCCTTGAGAGGTGGGATTATATTCAATCATTAGATCATCTCCAAAAATCTTTCTAAATACATTATCGATGCATAAAATAAATGCCATAAAGACCCTATTTTAAAATAGAAAGGAAGTTTGACTCTCTAAATTTCGAAAGTCAAGCCTACCATCTATTAATTACATTTAATAAATTATAGATTTCAATACTTTAGCTTCTCAAATTGTTCAAACCATAAAAAATATGTTAAATGAAAAATTAAAGAAAAACAATATATGTTACTGAAAAAGAGTCAAAAATATGTTCACCAAATTTAAAAATATTTTTCTAATAAAAGTAGGGTTTTTTTTTTTTATAAAAGGGAGAACTAGGAGTCATAGTTGATGACTCGATGGCTATATATATATGATATGCCTGTTGTATTGGAAGAGATGATATTCGATCTTGGTATGGAACTCAGGATGTTGACTGATGTGTTTTATAAGTTTAGGGGTTATTTTACAGCTCTAATAAAAGTAATTTTATTTTATTTTTTTCATGAAAGGCAGAACTAGGGCCCAAGTTGACGACTTGATGGCTAGCTTATATATGAATGAGCCAACTTCAACACTATAGTTGCACAATTTCTTAGTGCTTTTTCTGCAGGCTTGTGTGTGTGTGTGTATTCGCAGGGGTGGACCCAAGGGAGTTTTGCAGGGTCAAGTGACCCCCAAACTTTTAAGGTTTTTTTTTTTTTTTTTTTTTTGTGGGGATAAGTCCTGTTTAGTATGGATTGAAATTGAAATTTTATTCTAAATCAAAGTTAATAATTAATTTTAATAACATATTTCATGAAATAATTAACTTTTTTAACTTTTATCAATATTTACTAAAAAATTGACTTTAACCC